AGTGATGGCCTGGTAAGGGGAAAAAGAGCCATCTGGGGTGTGGAGCTGCACTGCAGCATTTGCTCTGAACCCTAGAACTCCACCTGGCTGCAGCTCCTCCATCCTCAGCCCTGTTACCCCCACACTTCCACCCTGTTGGACACTTTTTAGATGTGCAGGGCTGCTGCAAGTTTGCATGTTTTCAGTGTGCAAGAATAGTGTGTGTGTCAAACATCTTCCATTTTCATTTCTCCCAACATGAGATTCTTCAGCTGTATCTGTGGTACTTTCTGGCATCTAGAATTACCTTTTGCAGCTATTAGTATTAGCTCTTAGTGTATTCAAGACTTTCAGTTAACCCCACCCTCTTTGGTCATCCTGAATTCTAGCATGAAGAACATCTTCCATGAATTTCCTCAAGTACATCTGGGAGTGGGATCAATGATTCACTGCCATCTATTAAAAAAAGGTGTATTGCTAAATGTCTCACATTTTTAGGTGCATTTTATGAGTTGCGTGTTCTTGTTTCTTTAATGTTTGGTGATTTTGGGGGGCTTTGGTTGGGTAACCAGGACTTAAACCCAGGGGCACTTAACCACTGAGCCACATTCCTAGCCTGTTTTTAAATTTCTTAGTTTGAGGCAGGATTTTGCTAAATTGCTGAGGCTGGCTTTGGACTTGTGATCCTCTTGCTTCAGCCTCTCGAATCACTGGGAGGCTGTGCACCATTGCGTCCAGCTCACGTTTGGTAGTTTTTAATTGGTTGTCATATGCTGTGAATTTTAACTTCTCGGGGATTGGGCATTTTTATATTTCTATGTATTTTTTTTTAAGATTTATTATGGGATACAATTAAGTTACTGGAAATGGTTTGATTCATTTGAGTCTCACTTGTGAACACTGTTAGGTAATACAGGGGCGGTCCCTAATCTACTAGTGAGGTCAGATTCTTCTGAATACTTTACCCAATGGCTGGTGGGGTTGTTAGGATCAGGCACTATTCCTGGCCCATGATTCCCCCCCTTCCTTTCTAGTGATTCTTTTCCAGTCTCAGATATTTTCTTCCAACATGGATCCATGGTAATCTCAGGACTTGGGGCCCCTGCAAGTCTCCCTGTGCACTCTGAAGCACTCTCCTGGCCATGCTGTGCTCTGCAATCTCTGGCTGCCCTGGCCCCTGGATTTTCAACTCTGTCTCCTAACTCAGGGGTCCTCCAGTCTCTGCTTGGCCACCTGCTGCCCACCTCATGTTTCCAGCCTGGGAAACTCCCATGGAAGTGAGATGGGGGCAGTCCCAGGGCTGCTTCTTTTTCCTAGTCTCAGCCCTTGAGTCTTCTACCACCTGAAACCTAAGTCTTGGGCATAGTTGCTTCATATACCTTGTTGGTTTTGTTTTTGTGTGACTATTTTAGGTGGGCATGGGGTATAGGTTTGATTCCTGCCACTCCATCTTGGCCAGAGTTTTAAATGTGCTCTCCTCTGGCTGCTCATGAGTTAAGACTGTTCATACCTTTGATTGCTCTTCTCTTGTTTCTTGTCTTTTTTTTTTTCGTATTATTTGTAGAAGTTCTTCGTATAATCTAAATATCAATCCTCTGTCAGTTTAAAATGTTATAAATGCCATCTGGCAATCTGTCACCTGTTAATGTTATGTATGGATCTTTACTGAATCAAACTACCTCATTTTGGTATAGGTGAATCTATTCAGGTTTTAATTTTTTGTTGTTGTTTTAAGGAATCTCTTTTCAGCCATGGATTACCAAGTTATTCTCTTACATTTCCTTTATAATCTTACTGCTTTCATCTAAGTATTTCCCTCTTCTGAAGACTACTTTGTTCAAGAGGGTAAGATAGGTATTCAACTTTCTTTTCCCTTCTTTATAGTGTACCAGTTTTCCAGGTTCAGTGTGTCACTTACTTATTGCTCTGTAGTATTGAACTATTTTTTTTTGCACTCAGTTATAGATTTAATATTATTGTGTAAAATATTATTATTGTAGGCATTGGAATACATGAAGAAACAAAATAAAGACCTAAATAAATAAAATATTGTACAGGATGTACAATGGTTAAAGGTTTTAGAAGACCAGAAAATAGGCTCTGAAATAAGATGTTCATTCATTTATCCCTTTTTACAGAGTCTGTCTCATATATGTCAAAAGCTCTGCCAAGTACCAGTGTTACAGTGATGAGGAAGTTCTGCCTAACAGAATTTGGATTTTAGTTGGGAAGTTAGACAGTTAGAAAGCAATTAAAACAAAGTTTTAGTCACAATTAGGCTTAATTCTCATGTAGAGTATGAAAATTAAATTATATGATAAGATGCTGGCACAGAGTAGGCACTGAAAAATGCTTTTTATTTTTAACAAACTAAACCATTTCACTTGTGAATAGAGAGAACTTATAAACAATAAAATATTGTAATGATTTCAGTAATAAAGGTTGGCACAGAAAGTTTTGCTGCATCATGCAATCTTAAGTGCAACATCCTTGTTCCCATCTTTGTAGACTCTCACTTTTGTCCTTCTAAGACTATTTTTTCCTGTCCAAATTTACCAATTATCTGGTCCCTTTGTGTCTGTGGGTCTGCCTTGAGTTCTAAAATGTATATTATTGATCTGTGTGTGGGAAGCCATTCTCGAACGTGATTGAGCATCTCCCTGATTGGGTGTGAGGTGTTCTGGCTAAACTGTGTCGAACTAATCCCCACCCTCTCTAGGTGCGAGAGCCCATCCGTGTGGGTGTGTGATTGACCATTGACCATGAGACCAATCACTGACCCTGACCTTGGAATGCTGTCCCCCTCGACCTTCATTGGATGGAATTTTCCCATGAATTTCTTGTTCCCCAATAAAAGGCCATCCTCTGGCCTGCTCTCTCGATCTCTCCTGCTAGTCCTGAGTAAGCCTTGCTGCCCCACCGGGTGGTTCGAGGCAGGAGCCAGAGGGAGGGCCCTTTCAGACCTGGTCAAAGAAAAAGGTAATTGAGTCTTGTGTGTTTATTTATTTATTCATTTTTTTAATCTACTTTATTTTTTAATTAGTTATTCAAAACATTACAATGCTCTTGACATATCATATTTCATACATGAGATTCAAGTGGGTTATGAACGCCCATTTTTACCCCAAATACAGATTGCAGAATCAAATCCGTTACACATCCACATTTTTACATAATGCCCTATTAGTAACTGTTGTATTCTGCTACCTTTCCTATCCTCTACTATCCCCCCTCCCCTCCCCGCCCATCTTCTCTCTCTACCCCATC